CGGCAAGTCGTGTCCGCTCTGCCTTAACAAAATCCCCAGAATCTAATTGCTTCTTGGCACCTCCAAGCGACCACCACTGCCTACCCCCTTGCTGGCCTCACCACTTCTGCCTTAGGGCCCTTACGATCTATTCTCACGCAGCAACCAGAAGTGATCTCATTAAAGGTAAGATGGATCATGTCACTCTTCTGCTCAAACCTTTTAGCAGTGTTCCCTCTCAGAATAAAATCTAAAGCCTTAAAATGACCCATAACTGCCCGGTTACCGCTCCTAAACGCCTCCCCCTCTGCCCTCCCTCTCATCCATGCTGTCCCGACCTCACTGGCCTCTTGAGTCACGCCAAGAACTGCTCTTCCTGTTCAGAGCAGCGCTGCCCTCTCCTCTTTCCCAGTTGTCTACATGGCACACTCCCTTGTTCCTTCAAGTCTTTCCTCAAATATGGAAAGTACTCTTTAAACACAAACAGTGCAAGGACTTCCTGACTTTCAAGGGCCATAGATAATGGAGGTTATCTAGACTGATCTAGGGAATCTGTAACAATGATAAATGTTTTCATTAGTGCTTTGCACTTTACCAAGCTCTCTCTTCAACATACTATGTTTTTTTGTTTTGTTTTGTTTTGTTTTTAATTATAAAAACCATACTGTGATGGCATGGTATCCTCCATGTTTTACAAAAGCTTGAACATGCCTAGGTCACATAGCCAGTAACTTCTAGAATCTGAAAGCAGAGCCATCACACCTGCTTTCACGCTCAGAGCAAATGCTTTCCTTCTTCTACACAGAAGGTTATTACATAATGAAGGTAATTGTAGTAATAATTGAAACGATAATAATGATGAGAGCAGCTAACAGTTACTGAATTCGAAGTCACTTTATACATATTCGCACATTTCATCCTCACAGAAAGAAGCCTGGGAGGCAAACACTACTGTTACCTGCAGTTTCCAAAGACAACGACTAAGTCAGTGGCAGGATAAATCGCCTGCCCAAGTAAACTAGTGGTAACGGCAGAATTCATACCCAGGCACCTGGGCTCCAGATTCGGGGTCTCTAATCACCACATTAAATCCCAGCTTGGTCTTGTAATGTTTCCTGTCTGCTTTGCTAGACATGCTAGATACAATTTACAGCGGGACGTGAGTGAATTCTCCAGTTAGGTGATTAGAAATCAACTATGCTCACCAAAGATTTCTTGAAAGCATAGGTAGTTTAAGAAATACTATCATAAATTGTGTTTAGGCGTTCGTTCCAACATAATCGCCGATTGTCAGATGTTATAAACCAGTCAAGCAGAGATTGTGGTTCCTGAAACATCCCATGACCACGTTTTCAAAGGTTGACATTTTAGCTTTAAACGAGGTGCCTCCACTGCAGGTTAACCAGCTTGTGCCCAAGAGCTTTCTGTTTCAGCAGTGACTTGTTTTTATCCAGGGAGACGCTCGGCAGGCGGTGGGAAGAGAGTGCCTTACCTGGGGTGATTGTAGGCGATCTGCCGGAACTCATTGTTCCAGTTCGGTCTCCCATAGAAGGTTTTCTGCTTTAATCCCGTGATCACATCAGTATTTTCATCCCAGTGTAAAGCGATGTGAATAGCCTAAAATAGAAACCGCAATGTCAGATGGCATTTCGAATTGAAAAATAAAAGGAATCTGCCACTAAATAAAAGATGAAGTAATTATGATCATTTGTAGATTCAATACTCGAAAAATTCTTTATGGGGCTAAAAATGTTTATCATTATCAGATACCATCAATTCTGCTTTTTAGAACAGGCATCCCATCTTTGATCTTTGTATTCCGCTTTGGGCACTATTGATACAAAGTGCCTTCTGTAGAGTATATGTGCAGTAACATGAACGCGGAAAGAAAATTTTTCTTTAAAAATATGAGAGTAATAGAGTGAATATGATTAAAGGCAAGCAAGTACTAAGCCACTTCCTCTTTTCTGCCAAACTTTTCAAAAATGAATCTGTACCTCTGTCCCCATTCGCTTACTACTAAACCTTGGGGTTTGAGAAGAACACTGCCAGATTATAGTGATAGGAAACATCCAAGAAGAAGATCTCACGGTCAGAGCTGCCCGCTAGGTTGGAACGGTTTCAAGTGTACTGTCTGGGTTCAAGTGCAGGGAGGATGCTGAGTCTGGCAGACAGGACATGGTGGTCAATCATAGCAAGGGGTAGGAGTGGAGCTCTGTGCCTTTAAGTAACATGAAGGCACATAGGCATCAGGTAACTAGTGGTTGATAAATAAGAGCCTGGACATAGCAGTACTTAGTGATAATCTTCTGTTGTTGAAGTCTCGTAGCTACCTTGCTTTTTACCTCCTGGGATTTGTGTTCCCTGTGCTCATTCCATAGAATTCTCCGCAGCTCTTGAGCTTACATATTGTACCCTTTGATGCTCTGTTTGCTCAGATCCTAACTCTCCCTGCTTCTGACCAGTTCAGCTAATAAGCTTGCTAGTCCCAACTCTTACAGCGTGATTCCTGTGGCATGCCTGACTTCCCCAAATGACTTTCTTATCAGGCTAGAAAAGCAGCCAGCAGTAGGGAGGCTGAGCAGAAGGTAATACAGGTGCCTCAACAGGGCAGTCAATGACGGAAGATGGTGGCGGAATCACAGAAATCCATGCTGCAGGAAGGTGTCATCGAGTGAATCTGACCCCAGGTGGCAGGAGTGCAATTGGAACTGAGTTTGGGAAGAGAGAAAAATGGCGGGAAGAGGGCAAGCTTATTAAGACAGAGAGTAAAGCATGAAGTTCAGGACAAAAGTCCAAGCATAAGAACCGAGATGGTAGTTCAGGATTGAGTCTTGGAAGTGGGCAGAAGCCCTGTTATCAGAACTGGAACTCAAAGTCAGGATCAGAGTGGCAGTTTCGTATCCCCATAGCCCTCTCGCTTAACAGTAGGATCGATTGGTACCATATAGGAAGCTGATTTCTGCAGTGGCTAAAGAAGACGACAAAGTTGGTTCATTTACTTTTGACTAAGTGTCACATCCGATGACCAACTCGGGCCTTATTCTCCTCGGCTTCTTCACCACGTGGCTAAACATTACTTCTTCTTGATTCTATTTGCATTATAAAATCTCATCTCTTCTACTTCTCTCTGGCTTTTCTAATGATTCAAGGGAATAACATTAGGTTTTGTTTTCCTATCATATTCTCCTGTCTCAAAATGTAGCTGCCTTCCCAGTCTCCGATCTCAGTTCTCTGCATCTCATTTGGACCATCACTCCCCAAGACCTTCCATGTTCATGGTCCCAATTAGCATAATCTGCAAAAATAAATCCAGACCTTCTTGCCCCAGCCCTCATCTTCCTGCCTGAGTGGAGTTCTGCCCAAACACATTTTTCTGCAGAATTCTTTTCATTCCTTCAAATCGATCATCGATTAGCTAAACAAGAATCTTCCCAAATAACTCATGACTTCAGTTTACAACTGTGGAGTGAGTCCTACAATTGGGCAGTGTACAAGTGGAGAGGAACGAAGAAGAAAGAGAGAAGGTCTCTGCTTGGCGAGGTCAGGGAAGGAAGGGGCGCGCACATGTACCGGAAGCATGGTGGGAGTCAGACCGAGACCTCTCTGTACTAGGGACAGAAGCAAAGTGCTCTGGCGAAGCTCCGCATCATTTTTGACTAGGAGAATTGAGGAAGGCCTTACAGGGGACTGGGCTTTAAAGAATGATTCTGTGCAGTAGGCAGTGGGGAGAGACAGAAGCTGTTAAGTGACATGTCAGGGAGAGGGGACAGAATGGCGGAGGACATGAACGTGCACAGCCTGGCAGGAGAACATGCACAGCTGGGTGGCTGCAGTGCCAGTGGAAAATGATGAGAGCGCAATGGGACAAGTGCGCCCCCATCCCGTCAGGAAGGGCCTTAATTACTTACCGAGAAGTCTGGGCATATTTAATAATAAGAAAAGGGCCTTTTCTCGTCATGGCAGTGGTACTGTCAAGCTACCAGTCACTGATGTTCAAACATTTGGAATTATATCTGTTCCATATTTTTCAGCCCAAGGCTCAGTTAATCTCCAAACCCTGTTGATTTGCCCTTCGTAATACCTTTTCCATCTGTCCCTTCTGTGCTTGTCATTCTGCCACTCGGAGGTTGTTAAATTCAATTTAACAATTGGCTATTTCTAAAACAGCCTCCTCTTAATTCCTTACCAACAGAATGCACCGGTTATTATTTTTTTTTTGCCTGGAATTTGAGCGCCTGAAGAATTTCCAACGTGCCATGGCAAAAAATTTAAGAACACGTCTATTTTAATTTGCTTGTACCTAGAGAAAAAGTATATCTTATAACACACTTTTGGAAGGGGCAGAGACAGGATGGGGCAAAGTTGTACTGTCACAAAATCAAACAGAGCCCAGTCTTGCAACTCCCAAATGACCGGAGGTTCCTAGGTGGACACCCAGGACCAATCCACTCCAGCAGCAGGAGAGCAAGCATGCGCCTAGAAAGCAAAAGACAAAGACTCTGCCTGAACATCACCAAATAGATCATTAGTCAAAAATCCCACTCGGATAAGGAAAATGTATGTTTGGAAGACATAATTAACACTATTTAATTCATTAAGATGTTTCAAGCCTAGTTCTCAAGAAACCTCTATTTCAAATGATCCCAGAGGAATAAATATTTAAGGCCGACAGCAAATAGGACCTTAAAAATTCAGCTAGCTACTGAATTTTAAACAAAGTCTTACTCATGCAGAGGCACAGAGTCAAATGACAGTGATGTCCTAAAGTGTGTGTGTGTAGGTGTGTGTGTTGGGGGTGGGGTGGGCGCTCACTCGCTGGCAGGAGCACATTCAGTTGTAAATTTAGTGATTAATGCAAATCTGCTCATCTCAAACACACTTTCCTCAAAGTAAATATCAATAGGGGCTGCTACAGAAGTGCTGATTAGAATATACATTTCGTAACCTAGTATTCACTGTTGGCTTCCATATTTGAGGGGTTAAAAAAAGATTTAAAATTTAATAGTGATCATTCGGTATTCTCAACACTGAAATACTACCACAGTGCAATATTTTGATACACATTATTTTTGGTAAATTCAACGTAATACAATACACTGCGGAACACCTGCCACAACAGACGATCATCTTGATCTTTGGTGAATAAACATACGTGCACACAATTTCTAAGAACGACTTAAGAAAAAGAAATCTCTGGGTAAACCATGTATTTATGATGATTATTTTCTGTAAAAGCTCACATACTTTACGCTATAAAATGTCGAATGCAAACAACAAGGAATTTTTTTGTTGTTGTTTAATTCTGAAAAGCTCAAAGCATAGAATTAGAACCAATTAGGAGCTCAACAAGACAATACAGCCAATCGATAATATCCACTCGATGTCACTAAGATGACAAATGTCACTGTTAGTAACATGTTTTTTTCTTGGATTTCCAAACTTGGGATTGTCTTTCATTAATAACCCGCTTTTCCTATCTTCTCTTTTCTGTTCCTCGGCAAGATAACAGTAGGTTCATTCATTGCTACACTTTGAATAGCTCTATCTAATTTGGTTTTATTTTCTTCTTCTTCCCTTTCCAAGAACATAAAAATAATTCTTTCGTGCTACCAGATGACTATATAGTTCATCATTGAAATGGCTCCTCTTTGCTCTAAGTAGACAACTTAGATAATATCGATCATCCTCAGAGCCTTATCGATACCTGATTTTCATCCCAGCCAGTAAGAAATATATGATAACTCAGAAGGTGCGTTTTCCCTTGCTCACTCATGCGTGTTTCCAGCGAGAGTAAGAGATCAGCAAACCACTCAAAAGCACTGGGATCTCGGCAAATCCAGTAGAAATACACCTGTCGGGAGAAGACGAGAAAAGGGACTTGTTCCTCTTTCACAATGCGCTGATAATCGCAGAGTACTTTATCTCCATTAAATTATTTGAGCCCAAATGGGCGCTTCTGCAAAATAACATGCTTCTCTCTGCCAGTGAACAGTCACACTGTGATTTCTTTTGAAAAAAATTCACATTGAGTTTGAAAAAGCCCAGATTGAATTCAGAGTCGGGAGCCTGTTGGCTGTTGCCAGCTTCTCTGGATGAGGATCAATTCGCCACATTCCTGGCTGTGCTTCTTCTGAACGAGGTTAATAACCACAGCTAGCTGTGCCTTTCACTGCCCCCAAAGGGGAATATACACTTTTAGACCAGCCCCTTCATCTTTACTTATGACCTAAGCTGGGGATTTGAGCTCTCTTCTCCAGGGACCCCAAAGGCTTGCGCGCTAATCCACTCCACCAGCAAGGCATCGGGAGGGTGGGGATTATGGTAATTACAGAATCAAGCCACACAGGCCAGAAGTTTCCCCTCAGCCAGACATATCAGTGTCCAAGAAAAGCTGGTGGGTGGTGACTATGGTTGTGTGTCAACCGCTGTAATAAAAATTATGCCTAGGAACATTTTTAAATAAACTCTGTGCTTAGCAAGTGGCTCGAACACACTTTCCTGTGTGACAAGAAGTAGTTTGGGTTTGTTAAAATAAAGACTTCGTTTTTGTGCTTTTAGATAATTGTCTCCAGAAGGAAACACAGGAGATAGAGCTATTAATTCTCCTGATTTTTCTCACTTTCTTATCCACTGCTGCCTACTGCTGTTTCCTGCACCCCCCCACCCCTCCCCAAAGAGACAAGTCTCTACAGCTTAACAAGATCTACCGGGGAGCTGGTCATGACGTCCACCAGGAATTATCTCTTTCAATAGTCACTGTTCTCCCCCGCTCCTCACCTCCCGACCACCACCAGCCAGCCTGCAAGCTCACCATCATATAATGAAAGTTACAGATGAGAGTTAATTAACAGATGAAACTCATGAGGAAAACAAAAAAATCACAGAATGTATTTCAAGGCGAACCATCTTGCTTTTCCTTTCCAGGTTTGTGTGGGAATTTAAAATATTGTCAGGTAGAGCAGAAGCTAGTGATGATAATACCTTTTCTCTTAGGAATTAAGGCTTATATATCTGTTGGACAGCTGCTACTTAGAAGGGCATTTTGAATATTAATCCCAGGACAAATGATAACCTGTTAATCCCTCCAAAATTGTGCCTATCTCTTTCCAGTTGTGAAATTGAGCCAAGGGCTCCCTGTAGGTGAACGTCCCATGAACCCCCACAAATATAGTGATTGTGTTCATCCACTCACTTGCTGACTCGACAAAAAATTATTAAATGCTTACTCTATGTCAGGCCTGTTCTTCGCTCAGGAACTATAAGAGTGAACAAAAGAGAAAAAAAATTCACCGTCCTTATGCAGTTTGCGTTTTAGACGGAGAAGAAAAACAATAAACTAAGAAGTAAAATACAGAATATGTCAATGGGTGATACATACTATGGAAAAACACAAAGCAGGCTGGAAAAGCGTTGCAATCATTAAGTCAGGTGGTCAAGGAAAGGGGCCATTTAAGCGAAGACATGGACAAGGCCAGGGAGTCAAATGGCGAGGTGAGGAGCTCCACAGATGAAGGGGACAAGGAGTAAAGGGGCCCTGGCTGGAGCCGAATGAGAGAGGGAGAATGGGAAGAGATGAGGTCCCAAAGGAAGGCAGAGGACATAGACGTGGGCTTTGGGGCTATAGTGACTTTGACTCTGAGTGAGATGGGAAGGGACTGCAGGGTTTCAGTGCTGAGCAGGGGAGTGGCAAGATCTGAGGCAGGACCATGAGGGAAAGGTCACACTAGCTGCTGCAGGAAAACAGACCTGTGCCTCTGTGTGTGTGTGGTGTGTGTGTGTGTGTGTGTGTGTGTGCACGCGCACGATAAGTGTGGGAGATTGGAGGATGGAGGACTATTTTGTATCCTATGTTGGTGACGAATATGCTGCTTCTTACTTTTCACGTTGTGGAGTGCCACATCTAACTGAGCCTTTGAAAACGTCGGCCCTCCCTTTACCTCGCTTTGTTCCCGTGGAAATAAAAAACCTATGGAATTAAACGCCTTTCTCACCCACGCACCTCCCGCTCCGCCCTCTGGAGGTTGTCGGAGCCAAGAACATTAATGGTGGCTTCTGGTATAGAACAAACATCACTGACTTATTTTCTATTATTTCCGCTTTTTTAAGAAACATGGTAAAAGTGCATTCATATCGGAATAATAAACCAAAACATTTGCTTTTTAAAAAACCCGTCAGTCTGCGGCCATGCCACCCTGAACAAGCCCGATCTCGTCTGATCTCGGAAGCTAAGCAGGGTCGGGCCTCGTTAGTCCTTGGATGGGAGACCACGTAGGAAGACTGGGTGCTGTAGGTGTAAAAACAAAAAAACAAAACAACAACAACAAAAACTTGTCAGTTTCGAATCCAGTCCCAACCATCCTTACTTGAAAAACACTCCCATCTTAGTTTCCTCCACACACTGACCTCTGTCCTTTCAAATAGAGATCATTTCTGTCCTTACTTTCTTGTGGCTTCGTTGTGGGTCAGCGTTCTTAGGGTTTCCCAAGCCTTTTATACCTTTTGCTTCCTTGTAACAGCTTTGTGAGTGTTTCCTTTTGTGATTGACTCAGAGATGACACCAGGCAGCTTCGGTGCAAGAGCCAATGCAGGAAACGGAGGCTCGAGAGGTACTCCAGGCAGGAATAAGAGAAAAGAGACTTTGAACTGAGGAAAAAGGTATTTACTTTTACTCCCTTTCATCTTTCTAATGGTGAGGGACACTGGCTGTGAGGGGACAGAAGGGGGCCCACCCCTGCATTTCGGCCAGTAACATAGACCTGGTCAGTGGTAGAAAAAATACCCCAAACGATAGGCTACGTCTCCGTGATCTGTGCTTCTGAACATGCATCTTTCCTTAGTCTCTCCAAATAAAACAACCTTAAAATCCGTTACGTATGTAAAGCATGGCTTTCGGGATTCTGTGGCTCACCTTAAGGGCCAAAGATCGGTAAGGTTACTTTTAAAAGTTTTGTCAAACAGAGAGTCATCCTGAGAAAAATGACGAAAGTTCTCGGCTTTCATTGCCATGAAGTTATTTCTTTTACGGGATGTATCCCCCACATTCTTGTAGCTATGATGGCTCCCCAGATGTTTTAGGTCTCCCCTCTGGGACTGTGTAATGGGGTAGGAAGTTCTATGTGCTTGTGGCCTGTCACAGGCCTTCGCTGTCACACCATTCCCCATCACGAACCTCCAGCCCAAACTCGGCCAAGTCCAAGTCTGGTCTCAGAGGGCCCGAGGGCGGGGCGATGCCCACCTCCCGCCTGTCCCCCGGGGCTGTGTCCTCAGCGAGCTCTGCCTCTTCCGGCGCTCCCCACAGCCCCAGCTGCTCTCTGAAAATCCCGTGGCCTGCATGCGAGCCAGGTCGAAGCGATCTGGGGCCACTAGAATAATGGACCTGTGCTTCTTTTTGATAAACCATCCCAGCAAATGAAATAAGAAAAGCTACTAACCGATTTTACTACCAATCCACAGACTCTCCTATCAGAGGTTCCTGTGCCATAGCCTGGAGAGGCATCCACGAACACAACCTATATTTCTTTAGACCCCAAATCAATTTCTTAAGGATGGAAATGGGGACAAAATTACTTATTTATCTATTTATTTATGGCCAAGAACCTATCCAAAGAAGGGAATGGTACACGGGGACTTATGTTTAGAGTGCAGTGTGGCATAATAATTAAACATTGTGAGTCTGAGTCATGTAACCTGTCCTAGACCCCTGGCTTCACCATCTATGAGCTGTGTAACTAGGGGCAGTTTATTTAACTTGAACCTAGATTATCACATATGTAAAACGGCCACACACACACACACACACACACACACACAGAATAACAACCTACAAGATTACTGTGGAGATGAAAGCATGAGGCTCATGGAAGCATCCAGCACGATGCCTGACAGACCCATTAAGCGCTCAGAGCTCGCAGCTGCTTGTACTTGGAGGTCTGCGTTCCCACTGGTCACTCCCAAATTAGAGAGATGGTGGTCACTGAGAGGAGGTGAAACCAAACTTTATCTCCAGCACCAGGATGAGAACCTCGGCATCGATCACAAAGACGTAGTCCTGAAAGCAGAGGCTCCTTCACCAGCAAAATGCGCCCCAGGCTCCAAGCGTGCTAAACCTAGATAGAGACGTCTTACAGGGTGCCAGAGTCGACCGTGATCTTGACCAACACCTCCACCCACAACGGGGTGGCACTGTGACCCTGCCTTCTCCCGGGCAGCACCTTCTGTTCCATACCATTATGGACTGAATGTTTACATCCTCCTCCTCCCAGATTTACATGTTCAAACCCAAGATAACGGCATTTGGAGGTAGGGACTTTAAGAGGTAGTTAGATTTAGATGAGGTCGTGAGGGTGGGACCTCCGATAAAGGGATTAGTGCCCTTCTAAGAAGAGGAAGACATCAGAGTTCTCTCTCTCTTTTTTCTCTGTCATGTGAAGACCCACAGGAAGATGGCCATCTGCAAGCCAGGAAGAGAGTTCTCACCAGAACCTGACCATGCTCGTGCCCTGATCTTGGACTTCCAGCCTCCAACGCTGTGAGAAATAAGTGCTTGTTGTTTAAGTCAGCCAGTCGATGGCATTTTTATTATAGCAGCCTGAGTTGGCTGAGACGTCCACACTGTACACAGTAGCAGAACGGACATAGCTCTAAACCAACAGGATGATGGAGACTTTCCATCGAGTGAATTATCTCCGTTTTCCAAAAAGATAACTTTTCTCCCTGAAAAGATAAAGACTATGACTGATAATTAGAAAACATAACACCTCCTCAATAAATGGTAGCTATTACTGTCCTGGCTTTTATTTTGTTGTTTTCGCGAAGGTCATCCTGGATGAATACAACGACAAATAAATTTTG